CGCCCATGATACCCCCCATGCGTTGCCATTCCTGAGGATTCAGGTGTTATTCCTCTGTACCCTATAAATTCACGCCATATCTCACCTTTCAAACTGAAACACAGCCATGCAGACACAACTGTTTTACGGTTGAAACACGAATGGGACAGAGGTATCCAAGCAAACGACTTTTGTACAAAGTCTCCTTCTAGTGAGGGGATTTTTAATTTAATTCCTATTTTAGGAATCAAATCACTTGCATAACTTTGGTGATTTGAGAATTTTACATTCAAATATCATATACTAGCTTTTATCTGCGACTTCGTCCACATGATTGAAATATGTTTACAGATCGGGACATAAAGTAGTCTATAATACCTTTTCCATTCCATATAGTATGTGCACACCAAATTTTATAGTGATTGGTAAAGCCCATAAGGTGCTTTAAGGTAATAAACAAACAAACTCACTTGCATATTTATAATACGAGCATCAGCTGCAACACGAAAAATGTCATCTTAAATTATTTTATTGATAAGGTTGACTGGATTAGAATGCTATATAGCATTAAGTGCGCCTTTTGTACCAAACACTTTTTTTTAAGTGAACAATAAAAAATAAATAATAATAAAATAAAAATATATGTATTATTTTATTAGAATCTATTAAATAATCAAAAATATATCCAGTTGTAGTTTGTTAATTTTTATACACCACTTATACAGTTTTGTTATATTTATTTAAATTGTTTAAATAAAAACTGGACTACTTTAAATAATTATTTAACTTTTTAATACATAAGTACTCAGATATATCAGGAGAAAGCATCAGGGACGAATTTCAAACTCATCACAAGCATCAATCTCGTTGATAAGATTGGATTTTTCAAGGATAATTAATTCCAGTCCTAAGTATAAATAAACATTGCTACTTCCAGATTTCGGTCCTGTGGGAATCGTATTCAACTAGAGAGAGCTGATACTAAGTTCAAGAAGCTTAATTAGGATTCCGTACTGAAATGGTGCATCGATCTAATGATGCTATCGATTTGTAAATTGAGAGATGATACATGAGAATGAAGCAGGTCAGTTAGCCCATCTTGACGAATTCAACAAGAATTGTTCACGATGGTTTCCAGGGGGAACCACGTGGAGGTCGACCTGATAGGGTGTATTGCTAACAATGGGCTCATTAGACCCCATTAGTAACAATCCCTTTCCCCCCTGCCTAACTATTGTTATTAACAATTCAGAAAAGGTGATATGTATGGAATGAAATAGTAATTTTCTATTAGCATTGTATCACCAACAGTAATAAAAATATGCGGAAGTTAATATCACTGGTGTGGTTACTTGATTAGACTTAATAACAGCTTACGAGATTGATGACTGATGGAGGGAAGGTCATAGAGCTTCTACAGGTGGTCAGTCCTCCGCACCAAATGTTGGCAATCCCACGCATACAAATGTTAACGATAATACTGATCAAGTAATCAGTAATATTATTTATAATAACGAATTTAAAGTAAATATTATACAAGTAGTTATTGACAAATTCATGCTTTTACATTTATTCTTTATTCAATGGTCATGTAAATAAAATTCATACTATAACTACATTAGCTGTATCTAGCAGCTTTGCCCGCGTGATACAGTATATAAAATAATTTATAACATATGTGTTTACCAGAGGGAGACTTTGTACAAAAGTCGATTGCTTGGGTACCTCTGTCCCATTCGTGTTTCAACCGTGTGTTTGCATGGCTGTGTTTCGGTTTGAAGGGATATGGCGTGAATTTACTGGGTACAGAGGAATAACATCTGAGTCCTCAGGAATGGCAACGCTTGGGGGGTATCATGGGTGAAACAGTATATTCTGTTATGTCCATTGTACTGCTCATGTCTATAGGCGACGGTTACCACTTTCCATCAGGTGGGTCGTCAGCTTGTTTGCCATTCTAAGTTGTATAAAAAAAAGTCAAGATATAGTCTACCTGTGTACCAAAGATTCAAATCCGTTCAGCAACTTAAGCGTGATTTACAATCATCTATTCAAATTTTCACATTCATAATTTTAGTAAGAATGTTGTGACAGATTCTGATTGATGTGATGTTACTTTATAAACACGATAGATTAACATTACTATTTATAATATCTTTCTAATTTACAAATATTTATACTGAGTCATTCTCATATGGCTGAATACATTTGATTGCAATTTGGTGCAAAGATGGACCATATTCAAGACTGTGCAACTTCACTTTTTCTATGTATTAAATACAGGATATTTTTTATTTTAATTATAGCAGAACCTTATGTCAAAGCTAATAGATACTAACCTCTATATAGTGTCTCTATTTACTAAGCATTTCAAATACTCGTACTAGATGCCATTTGACAGAATATCAAAGGACTTGAGATAGATAGACAATAAAGCTCTAATTGACTTATATACATCTCTCAACTCGTCTCTGTTATAAATAATTGGTTATCGAATATAAGGTATATATTATATAATCCGAAATTAGGCTATTTACCTAAATCCTAAGAATCCTATGCCATAAATTAATATTCATTTATAGATAGAAGTATTTTTTTATAAAATTATATATTAGCATTCTGTGACCATTTATCTGCCATTGACCAAAAAATTACTTAGCTTTTTTTTAGACAAACGGCAGATACATTCGTCAATTTAATTTAATTAAATAATCATCAAGTTCATAGAACTTATAAAATTTTCTATCCTGTTAGATGTGTTATTACAAAACTACGAAAACAACTACAAATCTATTAACCGAATGAAATAAATAAAAAGAGAATGGTGATGATTTGATTTAAATTCAATAAACTCATCAAAGAGATTTTTTACGTCAGCGCTGTGACGTCTGTGATTCTAAAATTATCTTATTAATTAATCAATTTAGAGTTGCGGTCCAAAAATGACCAAAGAGTCACATCGTTAGAGTTTGAAACTTTTTTTTTGTTAAATTTCAAACATCGTCTCTCTCTGGATATATGTAAAAAAATAATAATAATAATATATGTAAAAGAATATAGTTAGTTTAAAGATAAAATATCCTGCTATTTTTGAATATTTATCAAAACATAAGTGCTATAAAACCAAAAATGATCTAACATTTTTTGTTTTTATTATTTTTCAGCCTCCCCTATATTTTAGGAGTAGATATTATTGAAAATGGTTCCTGTTCCGTTTTCAAATTGTAGCTAGACTACTGTACCTACAAGGTCGAGTGCTGGAGTTGTTTATTAAGGAAAAAAAAATGCCAATTAATTTTATTTGTACTTTCTTTTTCTTAAGAATCTTTTCTCCGTTTCTGTCTATTTCACAAACAGTCCAAATTGAATAGGTAATTTAAATAAAGAACGTGACTACACTTGTACTTAACCGAAAACCTATCGATCACAAATTGTGGAATTCGGTACAGAATTAGCAATGTAATCATGTAACGTAATCGGACAAATATTCAGACGAATTTAGAAACTTATTACTTAAGAAAAGCGCTTACTGCACTAGCTTCATTACCTAAGATTTTGTTGTTTGCTGCGAACTTTATGTCTTATTAACGTCATTCGAAAAGGTTCTTATAGTGCACTAATTTGCAACTGCGAATAATTTTACTTTTTTGTTAGAAACATTAAGTACAGAGAGAGAGAGAGAGAGAAAGAGAGAGAGAGAAAGAGAGAGAGAGAAAGAGAGAGAGAGAGACATAATACCATAGTCCTCAGGAATAGTAACGTATGAGTACCATGAATATTACAGTATATTAATCATACAAAGTAGGTACTTTATTTTACGTAAATAAGGTCCCGGATCCAGTTCTTAGTATTATTTTATTTCGTATTACTATTTGATATATTTATTTTATTTATTATTAGTAGAGATCAGATGTTAAAACCGTCTGGTATAATATTTACTAGTCATCATTAATTATAGGCTGATGTAATCTGTCGGTAGAGTTAATATTAAAGTAAAACTACGATACTGCACTATGATTATATCTATTTAATTGTTCTGGTGTTGAATGAATTTTAACATCATTTTTTGTATATTATATGATTAAGTTAGGTTTTCTCCTTCTTACTTACGTTGGTTTTAATATTTGTTTCATCATATATTCTCTATTGATAGTTTTTTTTTTATGTCTTCTCCTATGTTGCCTTCTCTTTTATTGAGTGTTTACTTAATTTGTGAATAGTTGTGTGTTCGGTGTATGAATTGGATGATGAAGAAAGATGTTCAGGTATACTTCACAGCATAGTTAAATTTTTTCTTCTATTATTTTTTGTACTAATTACATATTAAGGCTTAATTATGGTATATGGATTTAAATAGATGACCGCGACTACATCTATACATCTATTTTGATTGTTAATATTTGTTCTTAAGTTAGACTCAATAACTTCGATTCTTGGTAAATTTCGATTTGTGTTACGGACTTCCGATTACGATTTTCTCCAAAAAGGTTTAGTGGTAATGATGGGAAGGGGACGATTGATATTAATAAATATAAAAAAAATAAATAAATAAATAGGTGTAAAAACCTCTTTGAAGTTCCAGACTAATTTTGATACCTTTTGCTAACAAAGAATAACAGCACCGGTTTTATGTCAAAGACATAAACTGAAAATTCAAAAACGGTACATAATCAATTCCGTGGTATAATAATATCCGAATATGAATATATTGTGTAGATAAAATATAAAAAAAAGATAAGTAAATAAATATAAGCACATCACTTCACACTGGCCTTAGGATTTTGTATATCTTAGGATATTGATATGTATCTGACTTTCAAATTAAAAACTTATACAATAAAAAATAAAATTATATTTGAATTTGGAACACATTCAAAATTTCATTTTGGCGCCAACCTGATCTACTGATATTGGTAATGTCAAAATATTATTATAATAAAATGGGGTAACAAATCAATATTTTGTCAATTAACTTACAATTATGACAAGTTTGCAAACTTTTTTATTTCATTTCTTCACAGAACACAAAATGCTCGGAAAAAGTGTGTCAGGCGAGTATAATGGATATCCCGAACCGTGGCGATACTCCAAGGACAGTGGAAGAGGTATTCAAGGATGCCGAATCTTTTCTCAAACAGTACTACGCATCTATACGAAGGTAAGTCAAACTAGTAAACAAAATAATAATAACAATAACAGTTTTCATTGTAAACTAGCCATTCGACCCCACTATGCACTGGTAGAGAGTATTTTCGAAAATAATACATAGATTATATTACTCGTTGATAAGGTAACATTCTGTACGTGAAAGAATTTTTAAAATTTGTTAACTAGTTTTGAGTTTGTTTATTACCCATTAAATAAACAATCAAATCCTACCTCTTTATTAATATCAGTATAGATATTGCTTGAAAAAGTCACAAAATGAGCTGAATCAATACGGGACTAATCCTTGATTGCAAAAATAATTATAAAAATAGGTTTATAATTAATTAATAACATAACAGAACTATAATTGTAGTCGAATTGAGAATATCTTGTTTAAATTTGTATATACATATAATTTAAAATGTCACAATTGTAAAAATTATTTATGGCTTAACATAAATGTCATTTAACTATGGATTGATTGAATCATACTGTATGATTTCCTCAAAATAAATAAATTTATAATATTTTTCCATAAAAAAAAAACAACATTAATCTTAACGATAGTAATATGAAACCATTACGGGAGTAAACTCTATTGTTTGCAAAAAATCATTAATGTCCGTTTATATTTGGCAAAGATATCATATAACACACACACATACACACACACACACACACACACACATAAAATACACTTGAAACGACGTTCTTTTTACAAGTCACTTAAAAATTTATTAATTTTTTTTCTCAGAGAAAATTCCGAAGCGCACACAGGAAGGCTGGAGGAGGTGAAGCGGGAGTTAAATGAAAAAGGAACCTACCAGTTGAAAACTTCCGAATTAGTGTTCGGAGCTAAGTTGGCATGGCGGAACGCTAACAGATGCATCGGTCGGATACAGTGGAAAAAGTTACAAGTGAGTTATTTAGAAATCCCAAATTTGCCCACATTCATTATTTTACCTTTTTTTATACAACTTAGAATGGCAAACAAGCTGACGGCCCACTTGATGGATAGTAGTATCTGTCGCCTATGGACGTGAACAGTACTATAACATATATTGTATATAACAGAGTATACTGTTTTGCTCATAATACTCCCATGTGTTGCCATTCCTGAGGACTAAGGTATTATTAATTCCTATTAAAATACTTATACTATTTTTAAATATTAACTATAGATATGAGCTATCGTTACGCCGCTAAGTTGTATTAAAATCTGTCCAATTTTATAAGGGTAATGTGTGTGAATGAACAATCGCTTCCTACAATTTTATTATATTATTCTTCGGTTAAATTATAAAATATTTAGTTACATTAGTTCAATTAAATAGTTTTATTATTTGATTGCGACTGTATTATAGTGTCGATGTGCAAACGCTGCGATCGACAGCGTAGTGAGCGAGAAGGGTCGCGACCCGCGCAATACTAACATTTATAAGCAGTTATCTCATATGTCTAGTAAAATAGTAAAGAAATTCTTTCGTATAACTATGTTAATTATAATAATATACCTAGAAGTATCAATTGCATATAACACGATCTTTTTAAATTAAGTGTACAGGTATGTCTACGAAAAATCTCAATTTTTTTCTCTTAATAATTTCTTTTGTTTCTTTTTTCTCAATTTTATTTTCTTTGTTAAGAAATATTTTTGTGGTTATAATTAAACATAATCAAGACTCAGCAAACGTAATCAACAGCGAAAAACTCATTTTGTTACAATATGCAAAAAAATCTCAACGTAGGTAATAGATGAACCTGGTAATACTGTGGTGAGACGCCAAAATAAGTCTAGAAATGGAAATGGCTCACGGCAAGAAATACTTATATAGAGCTGGATACAACCTCCTGAAATATATAATTTAGATTTTTTTATTTACTTATGTAGTTATACATAGTAGTTTATTTAGAATAATTTAATTAATAAGATTAATGCATATTACAACGGAACTAGTTATATGTTTTTAATTTCATCAACATCAGTTTCATATATGAAGCATTAATTTTGTAAAGAATATTTAATAAATACTAACTAACATTGCAAATGCCGTTTTGTCCCTACCACCACCTATATTTATAATTTTTTTAGTATTGGGAAAAAACTATTCTATCTCTCAAATTGAACCGAACATCCATGTTCAAAATTAAAATCGGTTAATGTTTTTGGAGATTCAGAGATTAATGTTAACAAGTATCATCACACTAGATTTTTGTATATTAATATTTAACTGACTTTAAAAAAAAGAAAAGACTAAATTTTTTTTGCATATATATTTTTTATGTATGTCCACCGATTTCTCTATCAATGGTGGACCGATATAAATTCTTTTTTATTAGAAGGTAGTCCTTTTGCACCAACTTGATAAAAGGAACCCAAAACAATCGAGGAATTATATAGGCACATATATGATGTTTCATATTTTTTAAAACTAATATTATTGTATAAAAATTTTGATGCTACATCAATGATACTATATTATTACGGACTATGGAAAATTGTTTCATAAAATTAATTTCAATATCTATAAAGTTAGTCTCTTAAAATAAATTCAGCTTTAACATGAATAGAATAAACACTATTTTTATTCGAAAAGTGCGATAAATAGTCTGAACTTCGCAGAATATACCCTTCAAAATTATTGTTATACATATGTATATCAAGATAATATATATTTTGATTACCTCTAATTATTATAAATGATTCGGAATTATATGAATGAACTGAACACTTAATATGAAGACAAATACGTTGCCACTAATAATAGAATGGATTAGTTTTTCTGAAATAGGGAGTATACTTACTGAGTGACTTGCGGTATCCGTTTCCGTTTGGGATTCTACTGAAAAAAAGACGTTAAAGGATGTAGGCACATCGCTGTTGTTGCTCAGAAGTACAAGATGACCTATCGATTTAGGACCTCGTGTGGAAAAGCTTATAATGTAATGACTATATGGTATTATTGGATATTAAAGATCGTTTGCGGCATACCTGACCAAAAATTTGTAATAATTATTAACTCGTATAAGCAAACTCAAAACTCATAAACGGCACTGTCGGTAAATTACTACATTCATTAAAACAAGGAGACAGTCAGTTCGTCTGATTTTTTGTGACTATATTAAGCTACTATTTCGCCTATTCTTAATTGATTTTTACAATTCACTTTTCAATCGATACGGTGTACTTCCGCATTGGTTCTATTTTAAATTTGTGATGATAAATATTGTTGCGAAAAAGTTGGTACGAATGTTTACATATTGCATTGTGCAATTCAATTATAAATTATGAACGCCACAGGTATCCAATGAAATTTGATTGTAGGTATGAACGTGTAATTTTCCTTAGCTCGAACACGAAGTTTTTATCGCGACATCACGACTCGATTCATCGTCCAGTAATATGGCCGTACTATGACATGATGATAGATATTATCAAATAAAAGTATCATTAAAATATGTCGCTATTGAAGTGTTTAATGGTAAAGGATTATATTATTACAGTTTGTCAGTTGATTTGACTTTCAACTATAAGGTATATTTCTTTATATATTGGTGCGAGATGTGGTCAAAATTGGTCATTTAAATAAACATAGTTTAGACACTAATATATTATTCAGTATTACAAAAACGTTTATGTCCATTTTAGCTATTTGTTTATTTTATACACTGTTATTTCGGTAATAAAAAAATCATGAAGATATGTGTATTGAATATGTCAAGTATAAAATGATGGATTAATTGGTAATTTTGTAAATCCCCACAAATGGGAATCTACATACTCTCTTTGTCAGATCATTACGAGTACTTAGACATTCATGTTGTCAATATCGCTCTTAATATCTTCCAAGCAATCGACTTTGTACAAAAGTCGATTGCTTGGGTACCTCTGTCCATTCGTGTTTCAATCGTGAAGCAGTTGTGTTTGCATGGCTGTGTTTCGGTTTGAAGGGTGGGATATGGCGTGAATTTACTGGGTACAGAGGAATAACACCTGAGTCCTCAGGAATGGCAACGCATGGAGGGGTATCATGAGCGAAACAGTATACTCTGTTATGTCCATGGTACTGCTCATATCTATAGGCGACGGTTACCACTTTCCATCAGGTGGGCCGTCAGCTTGTTTACCATTCAAAGTTGAATAAAAAAAAATAATTAAAGGGCACTACAAATTTTCTCTTCTCAACCATTAAAAGATATTATGTTACAATCTACATTATTGATATTATGACTATTATTACGATCTCTTATGATTACTCAATAAAAAGCCCCGTGTCCATTCATAAATATAATACTAACAGCTAATCGTGACTCAGACTTGAAATTTCGTGACTTCAATACTGTAGGTACATAATTAGCTTTAATTAGTTAACATATTTCATTATTTATATACTAATATCAGTAAATTTAAATAGTCCTAAATAATTTATTATTATATTTTTTTATTCACATGGCATTGATATTGAAGTTTTAATGCCCTTTTTAAAGAACTACATGTTATTTCATATGAAACTCATTATATAAGTATATTACATTAGGTAAGTACGTACAACTATATAAGTTTCCAATGCAACTATAATCCAATTTTATCGTTTTTTTTTTAGTACAAACATTCTTGCTTATTTATAATAATTGTAATGTAACAATTCAACTACTGAAATAGAAAATTACACAACATACCGACAAAGTTCACACAGTCATTTGTTGACCTATCAAAAGTCTGCGAACAACCGACTGCGGACCGCTTAAGGGTGAAGGGTTTATTTAATTTTTGGCATGTGTAATTTATACCTGACATCCACTGTTCGATAAAAAAAAAACTTAGCAAATTATTACGAGACATCAAAATACCTAATTAATGTTTCGCTTTTTAAAAATCTTTGTATTGCATAGTATAGATAACTATTTGAAATGTAGTTGACAGGTTCTCGATTTGCTTTTAATTTTGTATATAAGGTAATAAATACCTTAGTTATTTGTAACCAGATTTCAATAGTTATATTTTAAATGTATAGGATTTATTCTCCTTTTAAATGCGATACGGTGATTATAGTCATTATTTTCACATGGCAATATAAGAGAATATGAATAAGAAAAAATATTTAGTTTAAAATATGTCATATAAAATATCTCATAGCTTGCCAATCACTGTACATCGGACGTAACGAACTTGTTTAGGATATTTCTTACCGCAAAGAGTCGCATATAAAGTTTTAATTAGGGTTACAAAGCTACATTTTCCAAGTTTATAACGAGACATAAACGGGTTGGCATTAAGCCTGTATCATAATGTATTTATAATATCTAATTAGCTAAGAATATTTACCAATAAAATGTTTTCAATATCTGGTAATACTGGATTATCTATTTTAGTGTATCAAGTTATGTAAATAAAACTAAGTTCCAGGCTTTAGTCCTTACATGTATCTTTTTGAATCTAATAAAGCAACTAAATTTGAGTAAAGATAGATTGAATAAACTATATAGGTGATTTAAAAAATAATACACAGCTATAACGTAGTAAATGTATGTTAATATGCTATCACTTCTTTTTGATCCCTTATTCAATTCGTGAGAATTCAATTCGTAAGAATTGAATAAGGGATTTCGACAATACAATGCAAGAGAAGGAAAATTCGAAACGAAACCCTATACCAAACCATCTGGTCCCTGTAGTAATAGTAGGGTAACATTCTTTTTTTATAAGGGGGTGGGGGAACCTTTGTATAGCTTGTGAAAATACTTGCTTACCTTACAAAGATTATAAATGTGAAACAAAATTTGAAGTAAGCTGTTAAGGCACTAAGAACAAATAATGTTCTTAATGTCTTATAGTGCCTTAATGTCTTAACTAATCACTATGAAGAATATATTGACTGTTTTTCATTTCAGCCACGTGGACTAATTTGCGGATAAAAGATTATTATGAATACTTATTTATGTTTTAATATAATATATAAAAATTCTTTTTATCGAGATTGTAATGAAATTTTGTAAATTTGTCTTAAAATGTAACTTATATAGATGGATCATATAGATTATGTCCTAAATCAATGTTGGCCGAGTCAGATAAATAAAAAAAAAAAATCTAAAATCTATAGTTTTTAATGTTCCCTCCCTATTGAGAATGCAAGAAGTGCAGTAAAATACAACTTTAATAGATTGAGTATTGTAATATTTTTGTTTTCTTTTATTAGATATTCGATTGCAGAGAAGTAACCACAGCGAGTGGAATGTTCGAGGCGCTCTGTAATCATATCAAATACGCTACAAATAAAGGAAATATAAGGTAAGAACTAAGTTTCAGCGTGAAGAATAATATTTTTCAAAGACAAATATCATTTACATTTCTAGATATTCTTTATCAACTTATTTGTTAGGAAGTGAACTAGTTATTTTTGTTGTCAATTAACAACAAGGAAGAAAACTTTTTTGTGACAACATTAAAATGATAGTGTTTAGTTCACAGAAGGAAATAAAACACTGTCGATTCCACAAAGAATTATCAAAATCATAAAAATCTATGTATATGTTAAGCTATTTTTTTTTAATGGATGATGATGGAATGGATCACCTGCGCTCAAAGCACCAGTGAAGAATGTTAGGTAAGAATGAATAGACAGGTCAGTTTGTCCATCATGATGAATTCACTTTGAATAGAACACAATAATTTTCGTTTGCTAGCAACGGGGCTACTAATCCCCATTATTAACAATTCCTTACTCCCCCCCCATCCCTATTTTACGCTATTATATCTTTGTCAATATTGATACGATATATAAAGATAGGGTTCATTCTATTGTTTGTTCCATATATTGTCTAAAAAATGCGAGCCAACAGTGTTTTATGCTATGAAAGTTTATAAATATTTATGTCACTAAATCAATTTGAAATCATTCTATCTTATTCCATATTAGCAAATAGAACATTATTTATACTTATTTGTGTGATCTCCGTAATAGACGAAATAGTATTATTTAAAATAATTTAAAAAGAGTTAAGATTAATTTTTTGTAATGTATAAAATCAAGTAATTCTTGAATTCAATTTTAAATATTTTTTCACCTGTCAACAATGTGAAAACTACATTATTAGCGAGAAACATGGGCTGGAACAGTAACTTTAACAGAATTAAAAAAAAGGAGGTTTTCATTTCGGTTATATTTTTTTTTATGTTTGTTACCTCATAATTCCGTTCGTTATAAACTGATACGGATAATTCTTATTTTATCTGAAAGGATATACTTACAGATTAGGCCTATAGAAATGTTATTAAAATCGGTATGCTAATTTACTTTAAAAATCAAAATAACTAGTATTGCCACAATTTAAATCAGTTTTTTTTTGTGAAAAACAATCCTTAGACTTATTGTACAATACATTCGAGAGCCTTACACTATTTGTGCAATAATGTTAGGACGGATGACTATTGTTTAATAAAATTGCCTTAATTCTGAAGTAGAAACGAAGACATCTGTGTTTTGTAAATGTAATTATAATAATGATGTTTTTAATTAAATTCAGGTCAGCAATAACAATATTCCCGCAACGCACAGACGGCAAGCATGACTACAGGATATGGAATCCGCAGCTAATCAGCTATGCTGGTTACTTGGAGCCAGATGGTTCTGTACTGGGAGATCCGGCGCGAGTCGAATTTACTGAGGTATTAAATTTATCATATACATTCATACATACCTACATATAACCTATCCTATATAACATATCCGTTTACTTATTTCACAATATGACTATGAAAGAAAATAAATAACATTATTTAATTTATATCAACAAATTATATGAGGACAGATTATATACAAACATACTGACGGACTGCGTAATGGAAATTGGTAACCTTTACTTTCAAATATGAACAGCATTATAAAGTTCATAGAACATATTATGACATCCAAGGTACCCTCATTCGTCGACGTTCCCAAGGGCTGAGATATTATGCTACTATAACCTATAATTGCACTAATATATTTTATCTATAAAAACCGATACAGCCATGAAAGTATGGCTTTTTGATGACAAACAAAAGTGAGATAAAGGTATGTTTGTAGAATTTTGTACAGTCTCTTTCTTATGCAAAAGTTCGTTTACAGAGACTGACACAAATTTTTCTTTGCAATACGTTTGTACGTTGTCGCTTTATCTCGAGAGAAACTATCATTGTACTTGAATATTCAAGGTTAGCACAAGAGCCTTTTTACCGCATCAGTTACAACTTTCCTTACTTTTGAGTATATCGGTCATTTCATTTTTACTGCGCATAACTTTTTTTCAATCTTAATATTCATCGAATTTTCTATAGTGTATACATACATACATACATACATACATTTGAATAACTAGATATAGTGATAGCTGGTATGTATCTAATTTACAATTTATTAAAACTACACCAACATTCTTGTTACATTGACCATTAATTGACGTTAATTATTTAGCGTCAATGTTACCTATATCTGTACATGAATCTGAGTGGCAGTTTACACAAATGACTAGATGGTCATTTATGTAAACGGCCAATATAATAATTAAAATTAATTATTATGGCATTGTGTCTTTAGATCTGCATTAGACTTGGCTGGAAGCCACCTCGCACTGCATGGGATATATTGCCTCTAGTGCTGTCAGCAGATGGCAAAGATCCCGAGTACTTCGAAATCCCACGGGAAATTATTATGGAAGTGAAAATGGAACACCCCAAGTAAGTTGCTGCTGTATAATATTAATCCTAATCCACTGACACCGCATTCCCATGAAATGTATGTTTATATGTGTGTTATACATGTATGTGTTTATACAAGATGAAATTTAAATAATTAGCGCCCTTCTAAGGGAATGTTCTACTTTTGAATCTGAATATTTGTTCTAAAGTAAAAAAACGAACGATAATTATAACTTTTTGTCACTGTGCAACTCTTTATTTCTTTGTTGAAAGTGTTCTATTTCACTAGTAGAACGAGATATTTGTTTGTTTTTTCTTTAAAATATGAATGTAGATTATTTGGATTACATCTTGCTATTTCTCAAATATATGTAATAAAACAAATACTATAGACAATATTATTTTAATATTAAATGGATATTATTCATTATTAATATAATACAGTTATACGGGGGTTTGAACAGTTTTTTATCAATTTCCTACTTTAGTTACATTCCGATAATAAAAATCATCTTTGTATTTTTCCCCCTAATTTTTATATTTATTTAAGACACGAGGTCTTGGGTGTTTTTTGTTTTCTTAATAGTTTTTTAAATATTTTTTTTTACATATTTTTCTTTGTTATTTTTGTATAAGGTGTTTATTTATTTATGTTTTTGCACACATTCAAATATGTCTACAGGTATGATTGGTTCAAAGAGCTAGGCTTACGCTGGTACGCGTTGCCTGCGGTTTCCAACATGAGACTGGACTGCGGTGGTCTGGAATTTACGGGCACCGCTTTCAATGGCTGGTACATGGGAACAGAGATCGGTTGTCGCAACTTCAGTGACGCCAACCGATTAAATGTTATCGAGGTAAGAATTTTTTATGCAATTAAATGATTGATTGATTGATTATGAAAGTGATTAATTGATCTCTTCCTAATATTATAAATGTAAAAGTTTGTAAGGCATTTTGGATGCTTGGATATTTAGATCTTCGGAAGTTTTTTTTTATTTTAAAGGGATTTGAAAATATTTTTGGAACAGATGAACTATGTCATAGATTAACACACAGGGTACTTTATATAAAATTTCAAGAGGGTAAAACTGTAAAATGCAGCTACTATTGCAAATGTGAAAATTTGTAAATATGTTTATATGTTTAGTACTCAATCATGTCTAAATAGCTAAATGAATATGAATTATATTACCATGGTGACCCTGGATACGTAAAATATTTACTACAGAGACACATCTTACTCTTCAGAATTGGCTACGTTTGAACATGAAGAATACCATGTTACATCACAATGTTTTCTGTAACGTAACATGGTATTCTTCATGTTTATAAGTAACGTTTAAAATTTTTCATTAAGAGGTTTATCCGGTTAAACACCAAAGTTATAAGTTGTATAAAAAAATCTCAAAATCACGAGGGAAAAGTCTGTGGAATACTGTATACTAATATTCTATAAAATTAAAAAACAATTTATTTATTCACAGACAGTAGCAACAAAAATGGGTTTGGATACGAATTCGTATGTGTCTCTCTGGAAGGACAGTGCTCTGGTCGAAGTCAATATAGCAGTACTGCACAGTTTCCACAGAGACAACGTCTCTATAGTGGACCACCATTCCGCTTCTGAGCAATTCATAAAACATTTGGACAATGAAAACAAAAGCAGGTTTGTTTATTTTTAATTATATTTGAATTATTCATAACAATTTAGAACGGTTACTGTCGAAACCAATTCCAAATACTCGATATTGTAATTGTAACGTTTCGCACTCAAAATACTTGTGACATATCAGATTCATTACGCAATTATTATTAAATAAATTAAAGATATATTATTAAATATTTAAAATAAATATTTAAATTTTGTATTGTTTACGTTATTTGGACAGATACATTTTTTTATACCACTAATGTGCCAAACACCTGATGGTAAGCGGTTATTGTAGTCTATGTATGCTTGCATTACCGCGCTCGTTGCTGATCCTGAAGAAACCCCTTTTTACCCCTTTTTTGAAGAACCCCATGCTGTAGTCTCATGGAAAAACCTCGATGTATACATGTTAATTTCAACGTGATTTTGATTCTAACCCAAATTATGTATGTGATGTTTTAAGTATACAGTACAATATTATAATTGCCACTTGATACACAAAGTTATAAATTAATCATAGAATATGGCTTGAATATGGTTTAATTTACAAACTGAATTATAACAGAAAAATATTTGTAAAAATGGGTAAGTAGTACATAAATGGGGAATTAAGTGAGCTTTAAATTTTGCTAAATACATTCCATTTGCAAATTGTTTTTATAAAGTCTAATTAACTGCTCTGAAATATAGAATACAGTAAGAGAAAATAATGAAAAAATATACTTAATTACTTTAATGAAATTATATAAAAAGTTTTTTTCAATGTCGTATGTATTAAAAAAATAATTTAATTTCAAGATTTTGGGATTGTTGCGAAATATTGTATAGTTCACTCTATTTAGACTCTTATAGTGTCTAATGAAGAGTAATCGTAGTTAATTAAAGATTATTAAAATATTATTTGAGTGCCTAAATTTGAAGCAGCACAATATTAATTTAACTCAAGTACCATAAATTATAATAAAAAAAACTAAGACGAGTAAGTCTATTTGTATTATTCTGGCTATTTTCTATATATATGAGTATGTATGTATGTATATATAAAAATATATTTGAATGTCTATCAGTTACAATAAAATGATACTATAAGACTTTACAGTGTCATAATAGTAACAAAACTTTTAACTGTTCATTAAAAATAATAAAAAGGTACCAAAGAAATGTACTTTAAAAAACTAAGGTATATTTTTTCAAATAAAAAAATAATTATTGAATCAGTTTAAAACTTACGGAGTTATAAAGTAACAAACGTTAAAAAATTACAAGCAAATATAGAACTCCCTTTTTTCGAAGTCTGTTGAAAATAATAGCAATTTCTGTTAATAAATGTTTGTTTGTAATTTATTCTAATGGAGAACCAAACTTCCCGGGTTCGGTTAGGGTATTCATTTTTATATAAATCAATATGCTACCTACCATATGGTAGAAAGCCTTAAATATCTATTTCTAAAGGATTTTTTATTTTTTAATTTTAAAATAAAAATATTTGTTTTTATTTTAAAATTTTAAAATAAAAATTTTTATTTAAAAATGTTGAATTGAATTGTTGTCACTTAATATTGGAATAATTTTTAGAGGAGGATGTCCTGCCGATTGGATCTGGATAGTACCGCCAATGTCTTCGTCTTTGACTGCTGTGTTTCATCAGGAAATGGCACTATACAATATGAGACCTTCTTATGATTATCAAGTAAGTAGTCACTGTTATATTATAAATGTTAAAGTGAGCTTGTATTTTAGTTACATCTTGGCGCCTCAGCTCAACTAACCGTCGTAAAATTGGATATATATGTAGTATTTGAGATAAAGAATATAGATTTTGTTTTGTATATTTCACTAGCTATATATCCAGCGAATTCATTCGCGTGAATCAGTGTATAAAGAATCACATGTACTAAATTAGGATGTAACCTACCCGTGTATTAAATTTCATTCAAATTCAATAGTTTTTTCTTGAAAGAGTTACAAATATCCATCCATACATCCATCGTTACAAACTTCCCATTTATTATATTAAAAGAATATCCTATCACATTAATATTATAAATGCAATATATATATATTCTACGTCTACAGTTTTTGTCGCATTCCATAACAGACTAAATTTTATCCCGGTCTATCTATGTACACGTCAACGTCACGTGGACGAAGTTGCGGGTGAACACTAGTAATTATATAATTTTACATCATGATTATACCGTCTATTGTTTTCATTCTCTTGTATTATCTAGTTTCCTTTTACGACATTCTGGAGATGAAAAGGAGTAATGATATATTGTGTTCTTACACCGTCACTATACAGGCACTGAAATAATTGTATTTCGAGCCATAATACGAGTTCTTAATTAAACTATATATATACATATACATATATATAATCTTTTTTTATCTTATAAGGTATTAAGACTTCATATCTTATGTAAAAATGTAAAAAATATTTTTTTTTATAAACTAGGTTTCATTTTATTGAAAGTTCCAAATTTGAAAAGAACCTAATCGATTACGTTTGAGACGAAATTATAAATGTATAATAAAATTTTTATAATTTGCTAATGCAATTTTAAATATTAATATAAAAATTATATTAAAATATATGATGACAACTGTTATCTTTAATAGTATCATCATTATATCAGCCTTTAACTGTCTTCTACTGAACACAGAATTATGAAATTAAGGGGAGACCCTTTACTGTTATCCCTTTAATAATATAATCGATGTAATTGTTAAAGAAGAAAATAGAAAAACAAAATGAATTTTATTTCAATAAATTTTCAAACCAACTCGATAATACTTGAAGGAACCCGCATGGAAGACTCACAAATGGAGCAAGACCGACGGCAACAAGACTGTTCATAGGAAATTCCACTTCAAGCAGATTGCGAGAGCCGTGAAGTTTACTTCCAAATTGTTTGGTCGAGCTCTCTCTAAGCGCATCAAAGCGACCATACTGTACGCCACAGAAACAGGCAAATCTGAACAGTATGCCAAAGAGTTGGGGACTATATTTGGACACGCCTTCAATGCACAGGTAAAATCTTGTACAATAACTTAATTTCAACAATACGACACCGAGGTACTTGTTGGTGAAATACAGCAATGCAAGTATATGGGATATATTTAAGAAAAATTTATATGAGGACTGTCTGTGACTTCTTGGCTCCTAAACGAATGAACTATTTATAATGCGATTTTTTGTTTGAAAGCTGATATAATCGAAATGATTCTTAGTTACAACATGATTAGGTGTTTCAGGGGTTACTTAAATGTTTAATTATTTTAAATTTTATCTGTCTGTTTGTATGTTTATTCCTGTATCACATAAAAACTACTGTACAAAATTGGATTCGATTTTCACAGTAGTATTCGCAGAAATTTAACAAAAACTAGTATATATTTTATCTTGATATGCCATCTAAAAGTGACCGCTTACCATCAGGTGGGCCGTATGTTTGATTGCAACCTCAGTGGTATATAAAATTACCTATTTCAATACTTATCTACTATTTTTGAAATCCATACATATGAATTAGCGGGAAAAATGCTAGTTACAAATAGAAACTGATGTATTTTTATTTTCTACAATCCAATATGTATTAGTTGAGTTAAATGCTTTTTTTACAACATATGATTATTTTGCGAATGAAGCCTTCTATCAAGCTCGAAACTAATCAGACATCCTCGAAGTTTATCATAAGTAATCAGACATCCTCGAAGTTAAATATGTACTGGTAATATACATATAAATAATTCTCTATATCATCCTCATTTAATGATTTTATAAGATTCTTTTGAACTTTTAACCAACTTTTAAAAATCTAAAATAATCCTATGTAACCACTAAATATTGCACATTATTAAAAGTAGTTTTTTTTTTTATGTAAAGAATAACCCCGTTTGCGCAACCAGTATACGCAGGAGGGGCACCAGTGAGGAATGATAAGTGAGGATGAAAAGCCAGTTAGCTCATTGCGATGAATTCATTTGGAGGTGAACATGGTGGTTTCCAGACGAAACTGTGAAGAAGTCGACCTAACATATATATTGCCAGCAATGGGGCTATTAATCCCTATTACTAACAACCTTTTTTCGCTTCAATATTTTTATGTTATACTTTACTAGTTCTACATTATGGTATTATTAAAGATTTACAGATTTCTGGGAATGCCATAAGGGCGTTATTTACGTATATAACGTAGTTATGCACCTAATAATAATAGACCGTTGAGATTGTGAAAAAAACCAGTACTCTAATTACGAACTCAAAATTCCTCCAAATATCAACATTCAGTATTATTTAACCACGATTTTATACATAATTTTCTGATCCTAACAAAAAAGAAAAACAGCCGGGATTAATAACACCAGGAAGAAGAAGAATCTACACAATCATACAACAATATTTCTTTTGCAGGTTCACTGCATGTCAGATTACGATGTGTTCTCTATAGAACACGAAACTCTAGTCTTGATTGTGACGTCGACATTTGGTAACGGCGAACCCCCTGCTAATGGAGAGGTGAGTTTTCCTTTAAAGTGTTCCTTCAAACAAAACACATTATTGCAACGAATATTAAACATGTATTTACTTACAATTATATAAAAGTCATCTGTATGGTTAATTTTCTCCCATACATGTGCTTGCATATAAGTACATGTTTTTATTTGAACTAGGTATTTTATCTTTAGCTGTACGGTTTTTATCCTTGAACATTCTACAGTTTTCTTTTAGCTTCTCAAAAGTTGACTGAAAGAGATCTCTCTGTGGGATAAGTTCGTCATTGTATATAAAATCATTTAATGTGTCTAATGGAAATTATGTACATAAAAAGATTTTACAGTACTATACAATTATGAGTATGTATAGAGATATTACTATAGTCCTCTGAATTAGCAAAGTATTAGGAGTAATATTCATGTCTAAGGCGACGGTTACCATCATGTAGAGAGTATCAGGTTATTTGCCATTTTAATTTCGAACAAAGTTTAGAAATATTATACAAATGTGAAAATTATATTCGAATGATAATTATATATTATGATTATTGAGTAATAAAAAAAAAAAAAAACAAAATGAGCCCGTTTTTGAACCCGCATCATTTACGCTATGGGACTAGTACCTTTACCAGTTAAATTACCGCTTTATTGGTATATAATTTATTGATTTCATTCCATCCGCTTCGAAATTTTCCAATCACACAATAATTAATTGGAATAAGATTTCCATATTTTAATAATATTATTTTTGTAACAATTTGCAATTACTAAAATTACCAAATGTCTAATATATTCGTAAATAAATGTGTTTTATTTTTTAATTAACAGGATTTCGCTAAACATCTTTTCCAAATGTTGTATAATGAGAGGAAAAGTCAAGAGGATGGGCATGACGCGTATAATCCTGGGTAAGCGTTTGGGATTCATTTAATTATATTAATCTGTGTATAATTACAATTAAAATTTGGATTTTATGCTTTAATACCTTTGGGTATAATTTTTATTTTTTAATTCGCTATCTTTATGCCAGATTCATTATATTTTGTTTTAGTATTATTTTAATGTTTTTTTTTTTTGCAGTAATTATAAACTACCAACACCAAAGTCTTTAATGCGTACAAACAGTTTAATGGCACCTAATATTGATTATAAGAAACAGTTGTCGCGTTTGGAATCGAACAAAAGTGAGTATAGTGTTATTAATTAAACATATAAATTTCAAATAGAAATATATTTTATAATAACTTTTGCATGTGGTTTTATCTATTTTGTAGAAAAATGTCGTCGCAAAAACATATTATATTATAACATTTGTTTAGGTACATTTTTATATTCAAAAAGTTTTTTATTTTTATCATTCAGGTTTCAGTCAACTAAAACTTGATTAATAAAAATAAACAACTTTAATTTACAAATTTACTTCTTTATTAATTTTAGTATTTACTTTTTTTAAATATTTATTAATTTTACTTTTTTTTACAAATGTGAAATATTATTAAATGTGAAAGTTTGTAAAGATTTTTGGATGTTTGTTACTTGTTTGAACGTCTGAACATTTTAATGAATCACTCTCCCTTAGTTAACATATAAAATACTTTATATAATGATATATGCAAGAAAAGCTACAAGAAATAACCACTTTGTTACAATATTATAATATTTACCTTAATTTAATTTGTTACAATTTTAACTCCCTTATAATTTTACTTCATTATCTGTTGGTCTGTCTATTACAAGATGCCAGAGCCAAACGGCTTGAGATTTGGCAGAGGTCGAGCTAGAAATTTGGCAAGTACAGGCGTACTAAGGCTCTGAATTATGTTATGGATAAAGATCTTATTAATTACTAAGTAATATAAGTCGAGAGATGTAATTTAGCAAAAAAACTCACAATTTGTGTAAGGTTGATAGAAAATTATGAAATTAAAGAAAGGAAAACAGCAAAATTTACTTTCTATACATTGTCTTATTTAAAAAATGCACATTTATATATTCGTTGATTTCTAGCAATATACTTATAGTATAATTTTTTTTATACCACTGAGGTGGCAAACAACCATACGGCCCACCTGATGGTAAGCGGATTTTGTAGCTTATGAACGCCTGCAATACCAGGGGTATTACACGCGTGTTGCCGACCCTGTAGAGACCTCTTTCTCCCCCTTTTGAAATACCCCATGCTGCAGTCTCTTAGAAAAACTTCGACAGGAAGCTCATTTCATAACTTGAGTGTTCATGGGAGAAAACATCTCTGTAACTATAGGGAAAATATAAAAATATAGTGCAAGTATTATATGTAATATAGAGTGAGTGGAAGCAGGGCAGATCTTTATGGCAGTCAATATGGAGGGTCTATGTTCTACAATGGACAGGTAAAGGCTCACATAATGTCGATGATTATAGTACAATATATAGTAAATATTATTATTATAGTAGTAAACTTATAGTGTCATACTTGTATTTTGTTACCAGGTAGCATAGCAGGATCGTCGACAGTAGAACAAATAGGACCACTCAGTAATGTATGCTTTGCAGTATTTGCATTAGGATCTAGCACCTATCCGAAGTTCTGTAACTTTGGGAAGAATATAGACAAAATACTAGGCGATCTTGGAGGCGAAAGAATTTTAGAATTGGCATGTGGAGATGAAATGTATGGACAGGAACAACAGTTTCGAAATTGGTCATCGAATATTTTCCACGTAAGTTAAAAACCATAAGCAGAAATTAAAAGACAGCTGTAGTTATTGAATAAATCCTTACTAATATAAAATTTGTAAAAATGAGTGTGTTTGTTGCCTTATAGCGCTTTAATGGCTTAACCAGTCACAAAAATGGAATGGAAAAGGATATTGGCTACTTTTTATCCCGATCCATAAACATATCCCAATCACGTGGACAAAGTCGTGGGTAATAGATAGTTAATAATATAAAATTAATAATATAGTATTTAATACGCAGGTTGCTTGCGAAACGTTCTGTTTGGACGAAAGTGATATGATAAAAGATGCAAAGAAAGCTTTAACTACACTACCTCTAGCTGAAGAGACTGTGCGATTTGGAAAACCTATACCTGATATATCAATAAAATGTGCACTTGAATCAAGCTTTAGAAAACAGTTGATTGCTTGTAAAATCAAGCATAATAAATTGTTAGGTGACTGTACTGCAGATCGTGCAACAATTTTTATTGATATGGAACCAGAGGTAGGTGGAAACACTAATATATAGCATATTTTTTAAAGTAATGATTAAACGATTGTACTTCTATTTACATTATATAATATAGGAAATAAAAGAACACAAGCAAAAGATACATTTGTATAAATACAAGAAGGTAGTCTTATTACTGAAAAAAATGTCTTAAAGTAATGAATGCATTTATTATATAGAAAATAAAAATACTATTTGAATTTGATTTACAGATTGAATTAAAATACGAACCTGGAGACCATGTTGGTATAATGGCGTGTAATAGAAAAGAAATAGTAGATGCTGTACTAGAAAGACTAAAGGATATCGATGATTATGATAAACCTTTACAATTGCAAGTTATGAAGGAAACACTTACACCTACTGGTAAATTGTCAAGTTTATTATTTAGTAATCTGTTTTAAATTTTAAATAATGAAAATAAATAAAATATGTCAGTTGTATGTACTAAGAGTCGTATAAATTTTACAAATATATTTAACGAGAATAGTTTTAATATTGAGGTAAACTTTAAGGATCATTTAAGTTTATTACATAAGTACAATAAGTTACAAGAGTTTTTGTAAATTTATAGTAAGTAATCTATGTAAGCTACATAAAAAATAGTCGTAAAGGCGGTTACAAGTGACTTTCATTTGTTAAATATAAGATTTCATATATATATCTAAATTAAATATTAATTCAGGTGCAATCAAAACATGGGAACGACATGAACGTATATCGACGGCTACAGTAAGAGATATATTCACTCGGTTTTTGGACATCACTACACCACCGTCAACAACAGTGCTGAAGTACCTTGCAAACTGTTGCAGCAATAAATCTGAAGCTGAGAAGATTAGAAAATTAGCTACGGTAAAAAACATATTTTATTTACAAAGTATATGCATTACAAATCATTCCTTTCCTTCTTAGAGTTATGTATATATGTAGTACTATACTGAATATATCCTCATTAATATTTAAACAGTTATTTTTAATTTTGAATGTTAACAACAATAAACCATAATTTTTGTACTAAATATTTGAGTTACACTAAAATGATTTTATAAACTTATTTTTTAACAGTGTTAAAAAAATAAATTTTGGTTCTAAGTTGTTATAAAATCCCATAAGTTCTAGTCGAGCCCTCATAATAATTTAATGAGTCAATGCAATATCAAATTTAATTTCAGGATTCAGTTGCGTATGATGATTGGAGACATTTCTATTACCCTCATTTGGCAGAAGTTTTGGCAGACTATCCGTCATGTAGACCTCAAGCTTCATTATTAGCGGCATTGTTACCACCGCTGCAACCTAGATTTTATTCGATATCATCATCACCTTTAGCACATCATTCGAGAATTCATATTACTGTTGCAATAGTTGTCTACAAAAGTCAAAGTAAGTGTATTACTACCAATATTTTTTGCATATTTATTATTTTAGTATGTTCCATCATTGAAATAAAGTTATCACTATATTATCCCATGATTTAGTACCTATATGATTATAGTCATCTGTTTTTTATATTTTACATAAGCAATTGCATATACATGAAACATCCACGAAGTCCAAATTTTCTATTAAAGTTGCTTTTATATTTTTTATCTTTTTCAGATGGCAAAGGACCTACACATTACGGAGTATGTTCTACTTATTTAAAAAATTTGAAACCAGGTGACCAAGTATTTGTTTTTATTAGACGGTAAGTTAATTAATTAATTATTTTTTACGAAACAAGCTTAAATCTAACATCATGTAATTTATTATAAATTTCAAACATCATTTCTTTTACAGCGCTCCTAATTTCCACATGCCTAAAGATTTGTCTGCTCCGCTTATATTGGTTGGACCTGGATCAGGCATTGCACCATTTAGAGGTTTCTGGCATCATCGCAGAGAAGAGAGAAAGAATGTCAAGGAAAGAGAGCAGGAAAAAGAATTCGGTCCTATTTTATTATTTTTTGGCTGTAGAAATCAAAGAATGGATTTGTATACAGAAGAAAAGAAGCAAGCTTTACAAGAAGGCGTCTTGAGCAAAGCAATGGTAGCGCTGTCGAGAGAACATGGTGCAGATAAAGTGAGTAACATAAATAAAATAGATATAATATTATATAATGAAAATTGTTTTAAATTAAGTTTTTCCTGAATTTACTTTCTAAATCTATCAACCTTTACAATAACTTCCTTGTAAGTTATGCAGAGAGAACTGAATACCAAAGATGTCTATTATTACATTTTTTGCTTCTTGTACTTAAATAATTGCGCTCCTATTTCTTAGAAAAGGCTAATTTATAAACTCCATTCCTTTTTTCTCATTTTTCCTTTAATCTTGCTAGTTACTCTGTTTGAGTCATAGTTTTTCTAATACAGTTAATTGTTTGTTATAGTAATATTTATGTATTTATTTCTATATGTTTATATTAGTTTAATTATTATGTTTATAATATATTAATTACTGCTTTTTATATTTCCTCAATTTGATAATGCACCGCTTACTTATTGCTCAGTTTGCTCAATGGTTGACTAGTAGAGTACAGCGTCCAGTGTTAAGTCCGCCATATGTACATAGTTTTAATGCGTATTAAAGTTTAAATAAATAAATAATACGTCTCAAGCATGCATGCCAGAATCGGAGTCTCCTAACTTCTCTTCAGACAAAATACGTTGTATCAAAACTTCTAAATTTAATATTAATAATACTGAATATTTACAGAAACATGTTCAAGAACTATTAGAAGATGAAGGTGCTGAAGTCACAAGGTTATTATTAGATAAAGATGGACACTTTTATGTTTGTGGCGATTGTAAAATGGCAGAAGAAGTCCAACAGAAACTGAAGTCAATTATTAAGAAGCAAGCTAAAATGTCGGACGAGGAAGTAGATGATTTCATGTTAGAGTTAATGGTAAGTAGATTAATAGATAAAATAATCTTCTAAATATAGCAGTTTTTAATGCTGCTTTGAATCTATTTAAAAATTGATATCTTGAAACTTTTTAATATTTCACTAATGCACTAATCTCAAATTGAATTTAAATTTGTATTTTTTGATATTTTAGAAGTTAGCGAATGACGAATCAGTTATGAAAGTAAAATGACAGAAATAACTAAAATATAACAAATAAAGATTTTTAGTGAAAAGACAGACTTTAGAAATTACATCTAGTTACTTTTTTCTATCTTATTCGTGTATCTACCGTGACAGCTATATTTCCATAGCTGTGTTTTGCTTTAAAGTCTGGGTGTATGACAGTGAAATTATAGGAAATGGAAGCACCTCAATTTTCAGTTCTAGTAGTAACGACATAGCGTATTCTAAGAAGTTAATGATGCTGTACATTGTCTGTAGGTGACGGTTACCGTTTTCTATCAGATTCGTTGTCAACTTTTTCGCCATCTCAAATTCTTTACTAACTAAAAGAAAATTTTGAACAAAAATTTAATTTATTACTTAATAAGTTACAAAATTAAGAATATTTATATTGATATAGTATAATTCTTTTTACTTTCAGGATGAAAACAGATATCACGAAGACATATTTGGCATAACACTTAGAACCGCTCAAGTGCAAAGTGCATCGCGAGACATTGCTAAGCGAACTCGTCAGGAGTCCATCCAATCTCAATCGTAAAAAACAATAATAATTTTTTGCAGATATTGACTGATTTTGAATGTGAAATATACCAAATTTTAATTCTGTAGAGCATCCAGAATAATGTTGTTTAGACCGTAAGGCTATAATTATTATAAATTCATTTTAGAGTTATGATCATTTTTATTAAAAATATATCAAACGTCTAATTTCTTAGAAAAAGTGAATATTGCATAATATTATTTATTTTTACTTCTTATAATTATTATATTATTGTAAGAATGCTTTAATATTTTTAATAAAAGTAGCTTCTATTTTTAAATAGAATATTATTATGAGTTGTATTAAATAAATAAAAAGTTGTAAAAAACTTTAAGAAAAAAAAATGCTTAAAAAACAATATACTTATACTTTTATCAGACTTTTTTATTACATTTTCTTTGATATTAAGTGAATATGTAGTAATCTCTGTTAAAATAGTCACTAAAATTCTTCAACAACCGTTCGTGTTTGTACAATAATTTTATCAATATTGTAGTCGGTTTATCTTAAATAGAAAAACCTTGAGGAGTTCTTACTTAAATACCTACAATGTAGAATTAAAAATAAAAATAATAATTAAACGAATCAACACGCAGTACTTGGTCATTAATCATGTACCCAGTGCTACTCACAGCTGCAAGATGAGCCGAATACCTCATTTGTCAAAATCGGTCAGCAGTTCCTAGTTACTATGAAGTTACGTAGCGTAATGTTTACGTTATATATTTGCCGAATATTCAATTGCCATTTTTAATGGTCGCAAACCAATTGGCAATCTTTTTAAATGGAATTCAATATGACAACGAACATCAGAATAAGTATTTAGTATATAAATAGTTGTAACTTAACTAATGTAATAAGAATTTCTTTAATAAAAGACATTTTGTAATTACGCTTTATGTTTTCTTTTCTTGCGATCCCGAAATACAATATTTTGCAAATAAAATATTTCAAAATATTAAAATTAGAACACAAATTTGCAAGTCCAATTCTTATAACAGATTCACAATTTTAAGAGCAAATTTCACATTTATTACATTAAAGTATAATTTTAACAATTTAATGTGTCTACAGTTCGACTCACAGACTTTGTATATCTAACTCTTTCTTCTTACAACGTGATCGTAAATTTCTATTTGTGTGTACCTTGGCGAATAAATTCTCTGTTTGGTGGTATTTTGACCGGGATCCTGTTGCGGGTCTGGGCAAATTATTTTATGATCGTGACGATTTTGAAAAAGGAGTCCTTTGTCGGGATCCATCAATGGCTAAAATTGAAAAAATGTAATCGTAAAAAAAGTATAAATTTAATATTTTTGAGTCCATGTATACGTGAAAAAAATTATGTAGTACTTTTTTCCAAAAGTATTACTCTACAATTACGAGCAAGTCTGCAGTTGACAGAGTTGAAAAATTTTCCTCTGAGGATATGCGGTGACTTTAAAGATTTAAAAAATATGAACACATAAGTTAAAAAATGCTTGATAAACAAATAATAGCGAAGTTATTTATTTATTACTTTCAGGTACGTCAAATTGTGAATTGTACCTAGTCATGAAAAAAGAGAAGAGAGAAAAGATTTGATTGTTTGTAATAGATAAACTTAATAAATACTCAACGGATTTTAAGACTTTAACAGCAAACATTATTTTCAAAATTTAATGTATCAGTACGAAGCCAGGCTTGATTGCTAGTTGATTATTAAGTACGGTAATTATACTTAAAAAAAAAATATATAACAACCACGACAATTTAATTTTTAGATGTAATGTAAAAAGCAAATAAGGGTGCACTAGCCAATAGTGGATGGTGATTTTCATTTCTTATGATTTTCATGGTTTATGGAAGATAATAATTTTCCATTAAGTGTATTGTTAGCTTATTTATCTTTCTCAATAATATAAATTTCAAATGCCTACTATTGAAAGTACTATTAAAATTGTAATAAGATTTCATGGAAACAGTAGAGAGCTATGCAAGAATTCACTCGAAACTTTTGGATTCTCGTTATCGACATTGTTGCCAAATAAATCGGTCCGAGTGAAGCGTACGAGTTTGTCACTGCATATTAAATATTTCAACACCACAAGTATGGAATAAAATATTCTTTATATCGAACTATAGATGGAATACATTGTTTACAGTGTTTTAGTGTTTTGAACCGACTTCAAAAAGAAGGAGGTTCTCAATTCGGTTGTATTTTTTTTATATTTGTTACCTCATAACTCCGTCAATTCTAAACTGATTCAGAAAAATCTTTTTTTTTATCTTAAAGGATGTATTTACCGATTGGTCTCATATAAACTTTATTTAGGTCAATTTAGTAATATAGTTTATAGACCAAAATAACTGGTTTTGTCACTACTGAAGTTTTTTTTTTTTTTTTGTGGAACAATCTTTAATTACTTTTCTATTTATATATTATATAATATCTATTTCATTACTAGTTTTTACTCATAACTTCGTTAGCATGATCCAGATATTTTGATTGATTGAAACAAAAAATAGCCTATGAATCATTCTCAATCTTAAAAACTACGTGTTCATTATGGCGCTAAGAGTACCATCCATAAATATATAAATATAAAGAGAAAGTGACCTTTATTACATTTCTTATGCAAAATAGACACCTAATAGTTATTATTATTGATACTACAATTCGTAATTTCTTATTTTGGGTCATTATTATGTCCACTGCTAGACATAAGCCTTCCCCACATTTTGCCTGTAGTTGCCACGCTTGGCAGGCTGATTGGCAACCGCAGTTAGGCTTTTAGAGATATTTTAAGAAGGACGTTGCGGCCCATCGCTCACCCTCCCTTAGCACCCTCCTACGTTAGCCACGGGAAAGGAAGGGGTAGCCCATTGCTGGGGCACACTCGGCGGGCACACACATTTTGGGTCATAATTGTGGTTAAAAACTGGTCATACATAACTTTGTTTTTAGAGGTTTTTTGATAATTTCTAATTTCAGTTTGTTTATCCTTCGGTTTCGTCACTATGATTGTTCTACGGATATCCTCATTTCGGATTTTATGATGCAAAGAAACTCCGAGCATAGTCTTCTCTATTACATCTTTAAATTTAAATAGAGATAAGTTTTTACCTTATAATTCCTACTCATGTTACTTCTTACAGTCCCGTGGCGCCAGTGGTAGTATCCTAGATCGTTGTCTTTAGGCCATAATGTTTTGTTGGATTTAAAGAATACGGTCCAGTTTTCTGATATTAGCTTATGAGCATAATCTATGTAACCAGATATTTCGAAGCCACCTTTTGTGAAATGTCTGATAAATATTATTGACTGGAATAATAAAAGAAGGTTGTATTGCATGCCATTTTAAAATAAATTATCCGAGTTTGACTTCAAAGTATAGTTAATATATAAATTAACATTTGTTCAAAATACTATTCCGCCATTCTAGATTACTATCTATATTTATTGTGTTTTTTTTAAAGTATCTACAATACAGTGTGCGTATAGTATATAGTACGGTTTAGACATTCATATTATGAATTTTTTACACAGAAATTTAATTCAATTAGGAAACTGCAGAACGATTTTTAATATTTTCTTATATAAAAAGATTTAATAAAAAAAAATATGGTCTGTTCCGTTTTTGTCCTTTTTATTTTTAGTGTCTTAAATTTATGTATTATGGATTGATATAATACAAAAATCTTATTGTTCCAATAATGCATTCTCAAAGCAAAACCGCGAGTAGCAACAAGGCTAGCAACTCTATTTTCTTACCTGTAAAATTCCTAATCTATTAGCTCTTTCTCGCACTGCCAGTTCCCTATTGAATGGATCTTCAAGATTGGCTCCTTCGCTGGCCAATGTGTAAGATTTAACGACAGGGTAAACAATGCCATGTATAACAGCACGACGAGTATAAAACTCTTTTTCGCTTAATGTGTCACCATTCGTTCTAGAAATCGACAATGAAGGACAAATTTTTAAGTTTATTAAAAAATATAATGAAATCTTGCAAGATATAATTTCTGATTTTTGATTTGTCGAAATATGTTTAAGGCAAATATTAATATAATAACAATTTGTAGCTACTTGTGGGACCATGGAACCAGCTTCATCTTCAACCTCACCGTTTCCCATTTTTCACGCGAGATCGAGGTCAATCGTAACTAATTTACAATTTCTAAAAACGGTGAGCCAACTATTGGCTGATAGCTATTTTTTTTAAACAAAACATGTTTTAGTGACACAAGTAATAACTTTAAAATGTATTTTGATATCTCAATTCATTCCTATAATAATAAATCATAAGTTTAAAGTCTAGGTAGTTATCTACCAGATTTCCTTCAATTCCACATAGCCATTTAATAAGCAAATATCTTCACATTCGTGTTTATATTGTATATTAGTAGGGGTAGAAGATAGGGTATAGATGAAACATACCTATAACCAAGAGCAGCTATTGTCCTTGCCGAAATAATGCTTCTGATATTACGCAGATCGGCAATTTCAATAAGCGAATCTAAATAATCTTCCCAGGTGTCGAAAGGCAACAGCCTCCGATCCGCCTCGACCCCTGGCGGGTACTCGTTTTTCTTTTCAGCCATCGCCATATTTCATTAAAGCTTTTATACAAAATAAAAATAGAAAAAATATATTAAATATTTAAAAACACATGATAGGTATATAATGGCAGATGTTGTAAACTTCAAATTTGACGCGTTTGTCATTGGGCCAAATGATTAAATGTAAAAATGAGTTCCATTATTTTGCAGCCTTGTTCTTAGGTAATTTGCATTTGATTTTAATTTATAAGACACATAGTACGAATTTCAAAGAATATAATCTAAACTTTAGAGACACATATATTTATTAAAATAATCAAGTTTATGTTTGCGTTATCTGTGAAATTATATATTATATTTATGAAATTTTTTAAACAAATAATATCTTCAAATAAATTTTAATTAAATTTATAATATATAATATTTTCGTGACGCTATCAGTTTAATAAAATTCATTAAAATTAAAATAAATTTTAATAATAGACTTTCTAATTTCCTTTATAGTTATTTGTTTGAACGCGATATACAAAAAAAATTTTGTCTGAATATGAATTCGGTATTTTATATTTTCTTGAATTATTTTCATAAATAAAATAATTCCTGTTATGTCATTAATAAACCGAGTCAGTTTGATTTGCGTAAGCGGAAGTATATATCTACCAAAACTATGGCGCCGCATCCGTGACAACATAAAATGCAAATTTGAGAATAGGATATAAACCGGCATATATGAAGATGCAATTGTGAGTTATCTGTGTTTTCTGACAGTTTTATGACGAAAAATTGTTCGTATAAAATGATTTTATTAGATAGAAGAAGTAAATATTCTAAACAGGTATTCGTATGTATTCGGCATTCTTTATCATAATGGTAATAATTTTAGTATATCTATTTTTCTTTATTATCATCATTGTTATCATATTAGCTATTAAACATTGGAACACACTCTTACTTGACATAACATCTACCCTAAACAAGCTAGCTTTTAAACACATATTGCGCAACTATTTCTTAGAAAAATCACTTTCCTTTAAGCTTCTCCTGCTGTTTGAGTCATAGATTACTTGGTCATGGCTGGAAAGAAGCCATATAGTATATTTAAAAAAAGAATAAGAATGATTTGAAATTTTAGCATACCATTCTTGTATCTCTGTGTGTAATGTCTTATAACTATAATTTTGTTATGCTAGTGGAACTATAAAAGTGGTATCATTTTGGAGTAAATCGTCTATATTTTGGTCCATCGAGTCGGAGTATCGAGGATTAACGACAAATTTAAATCGCATTTTTGTACGAAGTCGGCGAGCGTCAATTGTTGTTGTTGAACATTGTATCGTCATATTGCAGCCGTAAGGACATCGAAGAAGAACTAAACATAGTGTTGTAAGTGATAAGTGCTGGTGAACTGTGAGTACATTTTATTTATCTAATTACAGAAGACTAAGGAATTTACTCTAAACATTTCATATAAATATTTACTTGTAAAAACTTTGGATATTATTGAAACTTTAAAATTAAACTTATACAATGGATTCATATATAAAAGTACAGCTTGATTTAAGTGAAAGAATTAGTAGAGCAAAATCCAACTTTATTTTCGTTCTATAGATTATATTAGTATTAGATTAGAAGCTTTAGAAGAATTAATCATAGTTCGACACATACACAACTTATTCAAAATCTACAAAGATTTGAATACTAGTTCCTACGTATGTAATAACGTCTATGATTCTACTGAAGAGTTATATATTACAAATTTCAACTGAAGGAAACATTGACTAGTTTAAGGCAGTCGTGCAAGTTATACCGAACAAAACAATAGTAATAGATCCCCGTTCTCAGGCAAATATTCAGAATGGAGTATCATTGGTACATAATAATAAACATTTAGATGACGTGATTATTAGTTGGGGAAGCGGAGCAATTACTACGTCATGTACCGATTACACATGTATATATTTATTGGAGAGAAGATATTAATAAAAAATATATTATGTGAATCAAAAAAATTTATCAAATATTGCTAGATTTATTTTTTCTCTATTCAAATGCTTGTCCAAGTCAAAAATGTTTGCCCAATGGTCGACTGGTAGAGCAGTTCCAAGACTGTCCTAGATTTGTTAGAGTTTATTGATCCAAAATTGTGTGTACATAAAAGTAATGTTATTAATTACTGTGCATTGAAGTTTAAATAAGCATCATTCTCTACTCCAAAATAAATATTAGCCATTAACAGTTCACTGCTGAACTCCCCCATAACGGGGTTTTACCAGTAGTTGCCCCGCTTGGCAGGAACCGCAGTTATTCTTTGATGATATTTTAAGAGGGACGCTTCTGCCTATACCTCTATCATTAAATTCTCTTAGTCGCCTTATGATTTTCTATTATACTTAGAATTACCATAATATACAAGGAAGAAAAAGTTTATTGTAACATAAATGTTATTATTAAAATTAGACTTTAGTATACATAATTTAAGCATTTTCTGTTAACTACTGTTAATACGTGATAACTTTGTCCGCGTGAAATCAATAGGTATTTTCACACTGATTTAAAATAGAACCACTACAAAAGTAAGAGTTGTTTTCGATGCAAGTTGTCAATGGCGTATCTTTAAATCAATACGTTGGCGTCGTTATCCTATATGTCTTGTGTCTGATATAATTAAAATGTATAGACAGATAAAGGTTGAAGAAAGTATTTTCAATGGTATGGCGTGATCATGAAAATTATAACGCAACTTCAATATTAATTTATCGGAAAAGTTCTGGCCTCAAACAACCCTCCAAATAAGATATAGAAATTTTAATGTGTTCGTGAAATATCTAGCGCATCTTGTGCTTGTATAAAAATTTCTATTAAATATTTTTCAGTAAAGCAATATTTTTCCAAGGTCATGAAAGATATATCTGTATGTAAATAATAACATACATAAAATTTTAATGCATAACATATACATGCCGTTTGGCCCCGGCATTAAATAGGCTATCTCTTCCTTTGTGTGTCGTAGGAGGCGACTAAGGGAGGCCGAGGTATGGGCAACAGCGTCCCTCTTAAAACATTTCTAAAGCCTAACTGCGGTTACCAACCCGCTTGCCAGGCGTGGTGACCACTGGCAAACCCCCTCAAGGGGGAGGATTATGTTCAGCAGTAGATAGTTAAAGGGTGATATGTCCGCCAAATGTACATAGAATTTTACTGTGCATTGAAGTTTAAATAAATAAATAAATATTAGCCATTAACAGTTCACTGCTGAACTCCCCCATAACGGGGTTTTACCAGTAGTTGCCCCGCTTGGTTATTCTTTGATGATATTTTAAGAACCGCCTATACCTCTATCATTAAATTCTCAGTTATTCTTTGTAACATATAAATATACAGTTAATTTTAGGGCATTGAAGTTTAAATAAATAAATAAATATGATGATGATGATACATATAAATATACAGTCATTACTAATCATTGTGCGCTATTAAATGTATTATTAGACGGAAAATTGTCAAAAAACATCAATTTGAAACGTAAATTACTCGAATCCAATCGTAAGTTAATGGTACACAATATTTTTTCGAGTGTCGTTTGGATTATATTAAGAGCATGTGTGGAATGGGTATGATTGAGGTGAAATAAATAAATTTATTCTTCGTATAAAATTTACATAAAACAAATGAACATTTTAATTTTATTTTATGTAAATGAAATAATTGGAAATAAATTTTAATGTTTAATGAGGTTTTTGCGATGAGGTATCGTATTATTTTTCTACAATTATATTTTTGGCATATTGAAATCGTAGGTATTATTAATTGGTATTAAAATGATTCTAGTTTTTAATTAATTGTTGTGATTTACCTAAACTATAGAAACATGGAAAATTATCAAAAGGCACTTGGTTAAGATCTACTTTAATTCTATTATTATTAACTTAATTTAATTTTATAAATAATAAATTTGCAAACATTTATGTTGCCAATAATTAGAATTTATGTTTCTCAATAGTTTTCGCTTCAGTCGCTATCTTAACAAATTTGTCATACATGTAGCACGGTAAGCTAAAGTACCCACCTGAACGTAATTTGATTTGCTTGTTGAGTTTCAATTTCGTTTAACATTTTCAATGGTGGTCAACATGTTTCCAGGAATTATTATGGTAAATATTGAAGTGACGTCTTACTTTGAATTTTGTTATAACAATTTAAATTATAATAAGAATTGAAAGAATTATTATTTATTACTAACTATATATGAATACTCATTGAATTGATGAAGTTTGATAGAGACATAATATTTGGGATGAATCATAGATTATTTTTTATTTCAGTCAATCAACATAATATCCTCATTATGCAGACGAAGTCGCAGGTAAACACTAGAATTATATACAGGGTAAAATTGAAATCGTTTGAATCCTTTTAATAAAATGTTCTACATTTAAAACATAAATCGAAAAATATCAAATCAATTTGAGCCTTTCATATAGTATGCGAGGCTCAAAATTGTTTGTCGTTTTTGAATTTAGAATTCACACAATTTCTGTACTAATTTATTCTATAACTAATTTTTTGATATCACTGATATGGCAACAAGTATATGGCCTACCAAACAGTTACAGTAGTCTATGAATGTCTGCAATGCCAGGGGCATAACGCGCGTGTAGTCGGCTCTGAAGAAACTTCTTTACACCATTTTTGAAGAACTCCATGCTGTAGTCTGAAGTATTTACTATATTATCTATGATTTTAACGTAATGTTAACGACTACGATCACCCTGTATAAATGATACGCACATTCAACGTATGAATTTGCATGAGAGAATATTATGTGTTTATATACGCTATAGATAGTGATTATATTTAGTGAAATTGACAATAGCGGTATCCGTAGTTTCTCGTAGTACGCTCTACTCAAAGCGCTTTGTATGGTAAATCAATTTTCTTTCTAATGCAAATGTTTAGACATGAGCCCTATTCATGTACTTGTATTGTGGCTTGAAATAATCCCTACATCGCTGGGAGACAAACTGTTTGTATAGAAAGAGACAGGTCTACTCAGCAACATATAAATATTTATTCACAAAAAATATAGAACAATGAATATGGAATAACAATCCATTTGATTCTA